AGAAATCGCAATAGTCAAATAACTAAACAGCCGTTTATTGTTTGACCGTTATTTATACGTTTCCGCAATTTACCGGCATTATTTGTTACCTGTATTCACGGAATGCGTTCTTGTTTATATTTATTTCTTGTTTATTATATTGTTTTATCCAATTTGTAGTGTTTAGTTCCAGTTCTCAGGATCAATTCTAAGGATCAATACAGATGTCTTTTGACCGAGGAGTGACTCCTCTGTCGAGGAGTGGACAAACAATGGACATTGTTGTGGAAGGTATTGTGCTCTGAGGGTCGGGAACAGGTTAATAATTAATTGAGAGTGTTGTCCAATAAAAAGTAACAACAATGAACAATAGTATTGGGGAATAAAACGCAATTCCGGAAAACCGTCGGTCAATTCCACTCTCTGGAAAAAAATTTACGTTAAAAATGCCTATAGGTATTTAATTTACTTTTCATTTTAAAAATTTACATTTTTAAAAGCAAAAGGTTTATAAAAATGGCATAAAAATCATGGTATTCGCGAAGAAACTTTTTTATATACGTTGAAATCTGTTCCATTTTTGGCGTGCCGTATTTCCTCTAATAGAAGCCCTCTCCCCTTTGAATTGGTGAAGCTCGGCAATCCACTTTATAGCGTCTAGAAAATTCTGAATTTGAAATCCCCCAGTAAGCTAGCCCTGTCAGTCCGGTGTCATATGGCGGTTAGACCACTTTCACCGCGTATTTCTGGACAAGTGATAGTGCTGATACATTTTTTGGAAAATTTAGACCAAAATATTGACAAAGTTTTTTAGACAAAATTTGTATGTCCCGAGTTTTTGCTTATGGTCTGTCAGAAAAGTGTCAGTGAAAATTTTGACCGCATTCTTAGACCGAAATTTTAGATAAAATTTTTGGGAAAGGCCATTCTTGATAGTCCTTTTTCCCTGTAAGGTTTTTGTCCCCAATTTTTGGGAAGGCCATTCTATCCAGTGCTTATTTTTGTCTGCCAGTAGCACTTTTTTAGCAATTTCTGCTTTCTGAATTGGCAGATGAGCCAGTCCTGTGGTCGGGCGCGGAGCGCCCGACCTTCCCCCTTGGAATGTGAGGGAACTTGGAACATATAGGTAAATATATAGACAAAATGGCTAATCCGACTCCCGTAGGGAGTCCCTGAAGCTAGTATGTTGTAGCCTAGGTCTTTAGCTGCAACATATCACAAATTCAGAATTTTTAGGAAATTTAGAAACCTAGAAAATGGCCTTGGCGTAATCTTGGCGTTCTGCCGAGGGGTTTTTATTAGTTATAGTTTGAAATATAGTGGCAAAATCGTGCTTCAAACAGATTCAAGATTGGTTCGCCGGTTAGAGATAGTATTTCTGATAGGTCAATATCGGAAGCGCTCATTACAGCAATGCACTGGGCTCATCCTTCGGACGTCTGCGCGTCGCGATTGATATGGACGGCGGATTGAATCATCTCGACGACAGCACTCCAGGGGATCGGAGCGTCTTACTAAATGAGACTGCTTGATGAAGGTACCGTCTGTCGATGACCAATCATCACCGAATAAGGTGCTGTCGCCCTCGTTTCGCCAGTCTGAACATGTTAATGTTGCGGAAATGTATCATTTTGGAAGGAAAACTTAAAAATTGTGCCTCTTAAAAATCCAAAAAAATCCAAGAATAATTAGGACCTCAAACAAAACCGACCAACGTATTTCGTTCTCGTTGACGCGCGCTCATCCAAATCCTCGAGGCGATACCAGGACTCGGCTCCATTTTCGTGACCGTTTTTAGGCATAATCCTTCTCGGCTCCCACTTGTAATTGTATATTGTTGGCTTGGGCTCCCAATCTTCTGTAAGTGAAGAATCCAGAAATCGAGGCACTCTCGGTCTTGAATACTTGGGAATGTAGCCAGAATCTTCTTCATATTCTTCGTCATTGTATATAGGCAGAGTGGGACGCATGTATTGAGTGGTTACGATTGGAGCGATGTTTGCTTCGACAGGTGGTGGCTCTATCAGGTATACGGTTTTCTGGAAGAAAGAGGTAGTTTCAAAGAGGTAGTGTTTATGAAAATTTTCGAAATTGCACTCTTGATGGTCGATTTTTCGGTACTATCATCGCAAGGGGTTGATAACATCAAGCGGTGGGCTCTGAACTTTCTATTCAGCCACCATGCCCATATCTAGGGTTAGGGGATAGCAACCCCCGAAATTAGGGAAAATATAAGGAATACCGTAAATCCTCCAATAAGTCCCCCCTCAATTAAGTCCCCCCTCAAATAAGTCCCCCCCTAGACCCCCAACGAAAAAATAAGTCCCCCCTCAAATAAGTCCCCCCTCTAAAATGGGTATTTTTCCAAATTTTTCCAAATTTCAAATTTTTGGCGCAATTTCAAATTTTTTGGCGCAAATTTGAATTTTTATTGCAAATTTTGCTATTTTTTACAAAATTTTGTCAAAAAATTGAAAAATTTGCTAAAAATTGGCGAAAAATCGATCAAAAATCCAAAAAATTCAAATTTTTGGCCAAAATTTTTCGGCGCCAATTCAAAATTGGTTTAAATTTTCAAAAATTTTCCCAAATTTTGCCAAAAAGTCCCAAAAATTTTCGCGCCCCGCCTTCGGCGGGGCGCGAAAATATAAGTCCCCCCCTCAAATAAGTCCCCCCTAGACCCCCTACGAAACAATAAGTCCCCCCCCCCGGGGACTTATTGGAGGATTTACGGTATTTATAATAATCTATGAAAAATTTTTCTGTTTCGATTGTTTTTCGAACCGAAAGGCCAAAAAACGAAGACTTCGCAAGGTAAAAATTTGTTATGGAACTAAAAATATTTTTCTATACAAAAATATTATCCTGAAATCCACGTCAAAACTGACAAACATTTCCAGGATCCGAAAGTTCGCTTTCATTAAAAGAAACTTACGCTTCTCGTCGTTGAAATTAGTTTTCCATCAGGGGTCCGACGCTCCACTTTCTTTACCACAATTGTTTTCTTGGGTCGGTTGGAGAGCATACTGATTGTCGATCAAAAGCTAACTTGTCCTAGGATTTCAATGTCACTGGAGCATTCAGAATGAAAATTTCAAACTGCACAATTTCTATAGAAATTTTCCCAACATTCAAAAATACACCGCGTTAAGAAATGATAGAGCCAGAGGAAAAAATCACGGCTTGAATCGAATTTTCGTTGAAAATTTTTAATTTCTTTTTTAAACAGTACCTTTGCATGCGACAAATGATATGGTAAGGAATTAGACGTGCAGGAAAAGAATTTACCTGAAAAAATCCGGATTTTGTGAAAAATCATCATTTTTCACTGTTAAGAAATGATAGAGCCACTTTATTTTTTCAACAAAAATCCAGAAATTAAGCCAAATAATGTAATTTCTGGATTTTTGTTGAAAAAATAAAGTGGCTCTATCATTTCTTAACAGTGAAAAATGATGATTTTTCACAAAATCCGGATTTTTTCAGGTAAATTCTTTTCCTGCACGTCTAATTCCTTACCATATCATTTGTCGCATGCAAAGGTACTGTTTAAAAAAGAAATTAAAAATTTTCAACGAAAATTCGATTCAAGCCGTGATTTTTTCCTCTGGCTCTATCATTTCTTAACGCGGTGTATTACAATCGGGATCAATGGGGAACTTTGTGGAACAAAAATAATAATAACGAAAAATTTCAGTCCTCACTAAACTTTTTGGAGAAATTTTGCAGAAAGATGCCAGTACATTCTCGACGCGATAAACACAAATTCCAAAAACATTACGATGAGACGCTCAAAACACTCGGGGCATAGCGCATTTTTACCATTGAAGCCGGCTCTTTGCCAATGTAAAATATTCTGGATGCTAGACAAAACAGACTCTATTTTCGGGATACACAGATCCGAATTTTTTCAGAGTCTGGGGTGTTTCCGGAATACCAAATATCTATAAGAATCTACAATTTAAACCTGATCCACGAGAGAGAAAACACAAATATTGACAGGTAAGCTGCTTAATCTTAAGGTCAAGTAAGCCAAATCTAAGCCCTGACCAAGGCAGGTTTTGCCAGAATCCAGAAAATGTTTACACAGGGAAAAGTCCTACACTATGATAAAAATGCGCTAGGAGACAGAAAACTAGCGCCCCAGGACACAGATTCGTACTAAAATCGATCGAATTTGTGTTTCTCGGATCGAAAAGATACAAGAAACGTTATTTCAAGCCATTTCCGTGGAGCTTTGCCAAGGACATGACTTATGACGAGAAAAATGAGTATAGCCATGACTTCAAAAGTGCATTCCTTCTGACAAACGACGCAACAAAATTTTCCCCATTTGATCTATACATTTGTGTACACTCTTCTTCCAGAACTTTTAATCAAACAGAGCCGAGCAAACATTGCGTCCTTTTTCCTCGCTTCGAGGAATAGCATGCATTGAGCCCTATTGGACACACAAATGTCGACAAGAACATCTTCAGCGCGCGCCCATAAATTTTTGCGCGGACGTTTTGTGGCTGGAAGTGCAAAAATGTCAGATCAAATTTTTGATAAAACATATTCTATTCTGTTCGCGCAAATTACGCGCACTTTTGAAAATTGCTGAATTCTCTCTTAGAAAAGCCCCTGCTGAAAAATTATTTTTCAAAAATAATTTATATATATATATTTATAGCCCTTATATAAGGGCTATAATTGGAAAAGATTCTGCGCATATCAGTTTGGCGCCAATTCGAATTTTTTTGAAATTTCAGCTTGAATTTTTTCGTTTCTGTGTATTTTTTAAATCTTCTGTGAAAAAAATTGGAAATTTTGGTAAAAGCAATGTAAAGCCCAAATTCGCGCTTCAAATTTAAATTTGCACGACGATTAAAAATTTTCAAATTTGGAGTCAATTTTAAAACGTAATTTTAAATCTATGGAAATTCTCGATGCGAAACCGATGCACGGATTGCTTTAAGCTGCCCATATAAGGAAATATTCCCTTTGGTGTATATGCCGCCGCTCTCTCTTTTCAAGCAAGTGCCCCATTGGCCTAGTGAATAAGGCGTCTGACTTCTAAATGGGGAGCACATCAGAAGATCGCCGGTTTGAATCCGGCATGGGGCTGTTATTTTTGGCTATTTTCCAAGAAATCTTTTAAATATTATTACACAAAAGACACTTGAAATTTTTTGCATATTTTTCCAGAAATTCTTGGCACTTAAGTACAATTCAAACTTTCGCCCAGGCGGCAATCGACACTTAAGCCCAGTCTAGCGGCAATTCAAATTTTCGTCCAATTCAAACTCGGTCTCTCAGATTCTTCTGCCAGGGTAGCAAACTTTCTGCAAAGTATTACTCGAAACTTTCCGCGCATCTATTCAAAAACCGTTTCTTCTATCAAAAATCCTTGGTCATATGTTTCGTCAATACAAAACCTCAATACCATTCAAAACAGCCGTTTTCAGGAATCCTGAAATCCGATAATTCTGAGAGAAATCATTCAAATTTTCCAAATCCTATACAAAATCTATGAATCATTTCTCGAATGTTTCATTCTCGACTTTATCGAAAATGGAAGTTGTACAATGGTCGCGGGATTGATTCCATTTTGTTGACTGACTAATCCGATGACTGGATGATATAATCTCTCCACTTTTTGCAGGAAGCGCTCTTTCGCTCTCTCGGTATTGATTCGCCAAACAAAGTCAAACGGGAATAGTGAAAACCATAATCTCGGAAATAGTTGAAACAGTTTTGAACGGGAATGGTAAAATTTTGTCAAGGATTTTATGAATTTTCTGTATCAATTTTGTGCGGTAATTTTTATTGGACGCACTTTAAACTTTTCTAATTTTCTAAAATTTGGAAGGACATACCTCCAAGTTTTCACAAAGTTTTACAATTTTTTACCAAATTCTCAAAATTTTTGCAAGTTTATAAAATATAGTCAAAATTTACAAATTTTTCCTTTTCATATTTTCTACGGAAAATGGCTATACTCAGCCACTTAGCACTAGCTCATCTCAAAGCTGAGCCTAGTTGTTCGTCTAAGACTAAACTTAAATTTAAGTCACAGCTTGAGCTCAAGTCAGATCTGAGTTACGGCCATTTGTGAAGGTCACTCGGATGAAATTTTGTGAAGGTCCAGGAATTTTCTCCTAAAAGTCCGCGAATCCTAATATTCGGATGCTAATCTAAGGATGCTAAGTCTAGCGGTGCTATTCCTCTATTCCGCTCTCTCAGAAATATTACACCAAACAGAATATAACGGGAACAAAGTGACCGAATTTCGAAACCAAAGCGCTGGGAATGTGGGAACCGAGCGGTGAGAGAAGAAATTGAACACCCCAATCAGGCCTCGACTTCTTTTCCTCCTCGGGTGGCTCCTTGTCTTTGACCGCCAGTGCACCTTAATTTATAACGACCGTCGCCTTTCCTTTCCCATATTTTACTTTACCGCATTAACCTTTGCAGTTATCGATCGTTTGAACTCGTTTTGCGTTTTTCTTATTTATTTTTGGACTGTTTTCAGGATTGAAATGCAAATTTTCGAATTATTAACAATTCGCTAAAATATTTTGTAACACTTTGGAACGATACTTGGCAACATTTTGCAAGGATATTTGGCAACATTTGTCCGATGAAATGTCATTCTCGGCTTCAGCAATATTTCAAGGTGAATGCTTGGGATTGTTAAATTTTGAAAAAAGATAGCTGAAAATGTGGAGAATATACGTCGGTTTTTGGCATATTTCAGGAGAAAATGTAACATTCCGGCATACAAATTTCCACATTGGTCAAGTTTTTTGTTTCTAGACTAGCTGTCCACGCCGCCGCTATCGCGGCGGCCAGCGCCGAAAAAAAATTTTGTCTAAAAAATTCTGTCTAAATTTTTTGAAATTCTGTATTAACATTTTAAGCTATCACTTGCCCGGAAATGAGCAGTGGAAGGGGTCTAACCGTCTGGCTTCTTAGTAAAGTAACATTGTGCTACTCTAAAATCTCAAGGATTTCTGTGCTGGCGTTGGATTTTGTCATTTTTAACAAAAAATGAGGGGTAGTGAAAAATCAAAAATATTAATTTCCGATGCCCAATAACGACATTTTCAGGAAGTGGCAGAAAAATCGGAGAAGGAGAGAACTTTGCAGTGGAAAGTGTCGTCTTTTGTTCACTCGGCGAAAATTCGATGCATTGAGCCTCTAAGCGATGATTCATATTGCATAGCAGATGAAAGCAAGAAAGTCTCTATAATCTCGAGTGACGCGGTCAGGTAAAAATTTTTAAAGCTTAAAGTTGTTATTTTTTCAAAACTTGGAATTTTTCACAAATTTTTCCATTTTCTAGAAATTTGTCGGCGGATGCTGTGTACTATATCTAACTTTTTTTAAATTTATGACTATAAATTTACTAGGTTTTACATTCCAAAAATTTCCCCTACCAAAATTTGTAGGGAAAAAATTTGCTTACATTTTAATGTCATGTATTTTGAAGAAAAATTTTCGAAAATAATTTTCTAGCAAAAATTTCTAAAAGATCTTTCATTCCAGTTCAAAATTGATGCAGGTATAAAAGTTTTATACCTGCATCAATTTTGAATTCAGTGCAGACATTGTGCTTGATGCAGGTATAAAACTAAGCTTCAACTTTAGATCAAACTCAGAGAACAAGCACAATGTCTGCACTGAATTGTGTGTTCTCGAAGATTCACTTGCTACCACCAGTCTGGCGATTAGCTCTGGATGTGGGTTGGTGGCCAGCTGTTCAAATGAGCCTGTTGTAAGGGTCATACAGCTCTCGAATAAGACCGACGAAGGAGGTGCGTTTTTGTATGCCATTCAGTACAAAAATTGTTTGAAATTTATTTAAAAATTGCAATTTTGCCCAAAATTTGCAAAAAAGTAACAAAAAACGTTGAAAGAGCAGTTCAGGCAGTTGAGGATTTTCTAGGATCAGTATTTATGGTCGACATTCTAATAACTTTTATGCCCAAAGTTGGCAAAATTATTGAGATAGAAAATCTTTAAAGGCTAAAAAATCTCGGCCCATTTCCATCAATTTTTTGCGAAATTTTGGTGATTCGTGAACTTTGCCGGAAATTTCGTGAAGTTACCTGTTGGCGAATATGTACAGAGCTCTTAAACTTTCTCCATATCAATTTCAGGATCAACCCCGCCCAGAATCCAGAAATACAAATTCAAAGAGAACGTCCGCTGCGCTCATTTCTGCTCCGACGATCGGAACGGCTCCACAGCTTTGATCGCCGGCGGCACTCTCGCCATTTCCCTAATGGACTGTCAGACCAAACAGGTGTTCCAGGAAATTCGCGCATCAAACTCCAAATCCAATCCCATAGTGAGTCTCATGCCCGTCGGCGATGGCTGCTTGCTCCTGACTGGATTCCTGGACAAATCTCTCAAAGTATGGGATTTGAGGGTAAAGTCGCATCCGATTCGAGTGATTGAACCGTTGTTGAATGCCTTAGGTAAGGATTGCTCACCTTTGCTAAAGTTGGGATTGAGACTGCGCGAGATTTTCTGAAAGAAAATAAAAAAGTTCAACATTGTTTACATTCCTTTCGCTTTCCTGGAATCCTTAGGAAATTATTTTTTTTGCGCGCAGTCATCAACAAAAAGAACACGAAAATTTTCTTAACCTTATTTTAAACATTTTAAGGTCCCGTTTCGTCCACAACTCACCTGGATTCCTGTGGCCGAATTCTCGCAAGAGCTGATTCCATTGGTCAAATATACTTTGAAGACTTTTTATCCGGGAAGAAAATATCCAAGATAAAATTCAGCGATTCTTCCAAAGTGCAAAGCATTCGCTTCGCAAATGAAACTGCCACGCAAGGCCTGTACCTGTCAGCCGCGACCGAACACATGTAAAATATTGCAACAATTTGACTTTAATAGTACAAACTACTTTTAAAGTGCAAAAATTTCCAGACAATATCTCTGCTGCATCAACTCCAGCAAAATCCTGACTCCCGAACTGCAGAAAGTCGAGAATACGAAAAGGGTTCGATGGAATCGGAACAATGCCGATGAATTTGTTTCTCTGAGCGAGGACAGGTGCATGAATGTATATCGATTGATATCGAGCGAAGTCGAGAATGGACATAATAATGTTGAGAACTGAGCAGAAAAATTATAAGGCGAACTATTATTTTTAGTTATTACTCAATAAATTCTATTTGTCATTAAATGTTTAATTATTGCACTTTTACCGCGATTGAACTTTACAAGTGCAACCTTTGAACTATATTCTCATTCTTATTTGTATATGTGTTGTTCCCTATGAATTGCATTCGTGGCGCAGCTGGTTAGATTGGTGATTTGTAAGCGAATGATGAAGAGTTCAATCCCCGCGACGAACATTGAAATATTTCGGACGATCTTCAGTTCGAGGATCAGATTCCTTCTGTCTGTTCCTTGTTTAATTGATCGGAAAGTAGTCAAAAGTGTACTGACGTGTGAGTGCAATCTCGCGCATACGTAATAACATCTTTCGAACATTTTTGATTCATTTTACAGTAAGCACAAAAGGCTTTCATACATTGTTGTAACAGATACTTCAATGTCGATGGTATTAGTGTCTCACAGAAATTTCTTTGTCTGTGACCAAAATCTTCAGAATGGAACGACGCAATGGTGAAAGTTGGAATGAGTTCGACTCTGTGCAAGTACTACTCGACCAAAGAGGTCCAAGAACCAATCATAACCTCGAGTCTAGTGATAGATCACAGATACGAGGATTAGGAACATTTAATGGTGATCAATACAGGAAATACTTTTTCCTTGCTTACTATTTCCAAATTTGACTGTTTGCATTTTGAAACTTGTTATCATATGTTATTAGCAAAATTCTACGGTTCGGCAATGAAGGGTTAAAGTTAGAGAACACACATACTTGATTATGCACAATTTCCATACAAAATTTGATCGCATTCTGGTTTTTTCTAAGTTGGCAGATGTTTTGGCTGAGTCTGGACATGAAGTGGTACGTAAGAACTACTATATGCTCACAACTAGAGATCGGCCGAAAGTTTCGTCGAAAGTTTCGTATGAAATCGAATAATTTCGTTTGGGAATTATTGCGCAATAGCAAAATTAAACGAACTCGA